TCTGTCTGCAACTGGCATGTCCTATATCCAATTTAGTGATTACTGCTCCACAATTATCTGTCTAGCTTAAGACAGGTGTCAAGGCTGCAGGGTTTTCTATCAGTTTATTTCATCAAAACATCCGTTTACGCAACACAAGATATAATAGTAAAGCCTTTAGGATGATTACTTAGTCTCTAATCCCAAATTCCATCACTCCAAACCTCTAAATAAATATATAAATCACTGTCACATCCTACCCGTGCTAGCAGGTGCCTTTTTGGCATAAAGGCTCTCCAACCTAGATAAAAACCCATGGGTCCACACATTCCAACTACACAGCCTAAATATGCAGCTGTATTACCAGGGTAGTATTATCCACTCTTAAACCAACTCTTTTAGCTTGGCAACCATTATGTTTATATGATATACTTTCATTTGTCTAGTAAGTTTTGGGGCTTAGCACAGGGATCAGCTTCAGATTTAAAAACAAAGCTACACTTTGTTTAAAGAAATAACTCCTACATTTATTCAAAACATTAGAAAAAACAATTTTATAAAAGATTTAACTTTCACAGAAACCAGAGGCTTTGTAAAAGAGTTTTCATCCCTCAGCTCACCCTGTCACTTGCTCAAAGATAAACAAAATTTTAATTTCCAGTCTGTTTTTGGTATCAATTGCACTTGTATGCACCTTCCCTTCGATTTTACATAATGACAAAGTTTTATACAGCTGAAACTCATTTAAAAACTCCTGAAGAATGAAGAATGCCATTAAGAGAGGGTCTTCTCCACACAAGAAAGTATAATCTGTAACAGACTTCAAAATGTCAAGCAGTTACATGCTTGTGGGATTACAAATCTTAACAACAGCAAAACAAAGGGAACAGTTGTAAGTATAAAACAGGAGTCTGATACTTGACAAGTCTCCCTCCAAAATAAAGCATGTCTCTGTACATTCATATTATAAAGTCTAAACACCTGATCCATAAACAGATGCAGCTTATAAATTGTACATCTATACCATCATCTTATTCACTATTAAAATAAGCAGTGCCACCTACAAAATAAAGTGCTAGCCAGTGCCTTAGTTCGGTTTTGGGGGTGTTGGTTATTTTTTTTCTTTTAATACAACAAGAAGTTCACCAACAAAAAGATAGATTTTGTTACGCGTACATGCTGGATGGCTCATGGAATCCACGAGAGCACTGCAAGGAGGCAGAGCAGCAACACAACCTCAGCATAGTCTGACTTTCAGCCAAGGCCGCCTACCAGCTTTTGTATATTGTGTTAAACATTTAGTGATAAGGTATTGCATAACATAATTCCCTGTTTTACTTAACTGTAAGTACTTGCAACATTTGAGAGAGACACCTGCTGCCATTGCAAAACTGTTGTGAAGAAAAAGCTCAACCTTAATAATGCTTTAGAAATCAGATCAGCATTTGAATCAGGTTTACATCAAGGCCTGTTCAACTCTTACACAGGTAAACTCTCAGGGAGAGTGGATACTGGTAATTTCTCAGTCTTCAATCACACAAAGACCGTTTAGATGGGTTGAGGATCTTGTGACGACAGGTTACAAAAAACAGATGGGTTTCTGCTGAAATTCCACACTGTGATCGAGATCAGATCTAGAATTTAATCTCTCCCTTTTACACAGAGAGGAAGTTGGATCCAGCTCTGGACTACAATGCCAGATTTTCTCCTTAAATCACCATTACACAGACACGAGGCAGAGAAAGCAGCGGCTCTTGTGCTCAGTGATGACTGATGTCTGAGGCTAATCTAGCAGACCAAACGGAGAAAACACCACCAGCCACTCAGAAAGCTTCACGATTTTGTCTTAAAAAAACAAACCAAACAAACAAAAACCCAAACACTGGTGTCAGGGTAACAGGTCAGCAAGAGGGGAAGAAACTTCCTACAATAGCAGTTGCAGAAACCATGAGCAAATTAGATGAAAGGAACTCTTGGCACCAAAAACATTTACTGAGGTCCCAAGTCCAGAGTATGCTGCTCTGGCATTTCAGAGGATAGCTGCTGTCTCCACAGCTTTATGCACAGCCCACTAGCCCCATGATATCAGATCTCTTCCAAGTTTTGTCTCTTCACCTCAGTCATTAGCCAAAAGCAGATACCACTTCTTCAGTATTTATAATGCACACTTCATTACTGCATCTGAATGAAACAGGGCAACACCTCGCACCATACCGGTTACACCAATTTGCACTACTACAGTGCACATCTGTAACGTAAGACATCTTTACAACGTCATGCACTTTTCACACCTATTGCTTTTTCATATTGAGTATTAACACAAAAGCGCAAATGGCTTTCTTGCTAAATTTTGACAAGAAAGTCTCACTTCAGGATTCTCTGGTGATATCCTTCACAGGGTAGTTAAGAAACCAGAAAACAAAACAAAACAGTAACACAGCCTGTCTCTAATTATGACATAATAATTTCTGACAAGAAATAAACTGGTTTTACTCATCTGTGTGTATATATGTATATTTTGTTTGTGTGTCTATCTATCTATCTATCTATCTATATATATATATATATAAAACTGACCAAGGACACACATACATACACAGATCCTGGGTCTGTTTCCATCTCCAAACTGACTTTCTGCAATACTATGCCTCAGTTTCCTCTTTTGGTTAAGGTAGCCCCTACTGCAAAGGTTTTTAATGATTACTTCTCCAGCACCCAGCCCTGATGCCAGCCAAGGTGCCCCTGCAGAGCTGGCTCGGGAAACCACCGGGGTCAGAGCCTATGCAGGGGTCCCTGCCAGGGCGACCAGCACAGCAAGTCATCCCACTGAGCAGGTGTCCCAGCCACACCTTCTGCCAGCCCCAGGCAGGGGCTTACTGATGAAGCTGGTATGCTCAGTCATGCTGTTAACACAGTTAATGTATTTCTGATGACTCAATCTAAACTCTAAGAGCTATTGGTATCAAAATACTAGTATAAAGCCACTTGCAGAGCACTCCATTTTTTTCCCCTCATTTCTCACAATTATTTTTCCAACTTTATCTAAATTACTGATGGCTCAATTAATATCACCCTCTTTAAACAGCAGCATAATTGACCAGATACCTCTACCAAATGGTATTTAAGCTGCCTTCCACCTCCAGTTTGCACAGAAAAAGCTCACATTTCTATCATATGGTAGATATGATCCCCCAACTAACATGACAATAAAGCAGACTGCAGTGGGAAAACAATTTGGCAGCCTTGATTCATCTATTACTCAAATTTAATAATTAATTAAATCCCTATCAACACTCTTACCTGAAAAAAAGAAAACTTACTCTGTTTCATAATTATTATTCCTTGAACCATCACTTCGCTAGGTCAACTTTAGGAAAAGGACACGCTGAAGAAACTTTCTGCTAGAAATTCAAACTACAGTAACATACAGTATTTTATTGATGAAAATATTCCATCTTTAACAAAGTATCCAGAATCTAAAAGAACACCCCAACACTATGAGATTCTTGGTTTATAATTAAAAACAGAAATGCTGAAAAAGACTGCACTGAAATTAACAAATTGAATTCAAGTATCATATCGATCAAGCCCATGCCAGTGTAACACAATTGGAGGTTATGGTTTCTCTTTTTTCCCCCTCTCAACAAAAAGCAGATGGCTGATAAGTCAGTATATCAAAGCCCTTCTATAAAACCTTTCACAATTAAAAATTATGTTTACTGTTCCTAATGCCACCACACAGAAGGACTTCCCCACATACAACTAATACCCTTTCTCAGCAGTAGATGCGTATCAATCACAGTAGTAGTTCAAAAGAAATAAACATCACAGTACCAGTTTGATCCATGGGCAGCAAGAATTTATGCTACATTATTTCAAAAAGAGTATGTTAACCTATCTTTATCTCATATATACTTAAAATACTCACATAAGAAACCACCCCAAAAACCTACTATGTTTAGATATCCAGCTATTTAATAAGCAAAGGCACTTACTGGGAGTTGGGAGACTCCTACCAACTTTGGTAAAGCTAGGGTTCACCTAAGAAACTTACAGCTCCCAAGATGATAATGGAGTTTTTAATCAAATACATATGAAGTTCTTAAATACAGGGGGGAACCCACTCTTGTCTCTTAAGTATGCACTTGAGAAAATTAAATACACCTAAAAGACCTTTGTCAATTATCTTTTACCCCTTCTTGGAAAGTTCTGAAAAAAGCAAGCAGCATTCAGGAACACATTAACTTCTCCAAGAAACCTCTGCATCAAAGCTCTGCTTTTAAACTTTTATTTTTTTAAACAACAACAAAAAAAAACCCCTGTACTTAGGAAAGTTGCCACCATCTTACATTTCAGGATACAAAACTGAAAAAAATCCCTGTTAAAAAAAAGACAGGACTTCAGCCAAGTATTCAGCTACTTATTGCTGTAGTTGTAACTCAAGTCCATTTAAGCCCCTAGTTTTGGTCATTTGTAGCAAGAACATGTTTGGAACACTAGCAGCAATAGAAAACCCCTTTCAAACCCAGACATAGTTACACTGTTGAGTGAACATTAGCAGAAACCACAACCACTGGGACATAATAAAGCATCCTGTAAAAGTACAATTGAATTAGTAGCTAGAAAAACAGGGTTGATTTAAAGTGCTATCCCAAAGCCATATGTGGGTCTATGTCAGCAAAGAAAAGTACTTTCCCCGCCACAAGATAAAGCCCCAGACCACAGCACTACTCCAAACATAACGAATACAGTCTTCGTCCTGCCTCAATGCCTCATCTCCCCTCCCTCCTCCAACAGGCAGCATACAGAAACTTGAAGCAATTGCTAATTCCAAATGTAAGTGATACTCAACACATATACTTTTGAACAAAGTCTGGACTGCAAACAGTACACCTGAGTTCGGTTGTACAAACTAACTTCTGTAAATAGCGTCAGACGAATATATTCATGTCTCTAATAAGAATCTAAATGTATTTTATTACAAAACGCATTAATAGAAATATCCAGGCAAATACATACCATACAATAGCAAAAGCTTTAAGCCCCATTTAATAAGATGAGTTTCTGATTAAAAATAGAAGGCAATTAAGATTTACTCAAAATTACAATTAAGAAAAGCTTTCACAGTGCAATATTGAAACTGTCACAAAGTTAAGAAAATACTGATATCAAAGTACAATCACAATGTTAAAGTAGACAAAACTACTATACAAGGGCCTATCCTGTAAAACTAAAAGGAATGAACACAACATAGGGGACATCTCATGTCCCTGCTCTACATATCTTGTTTGCTAGTCTTCAGAGTCATAACTGTGCCTTTCTGACATCCATAGAAGTCTTGTTAAAAGTCAGATGTTCATTCTTCTTGTTTGCAGACCTGATTTCAAAGCCTGATTACTTCTTGAAAATATGGTCTTCATCACTGCACAATTTCGAAGTAGTGCAATATTGCCATGATGTGCTGAGGCATGAACACGTAGCCCGTGTACAGTGCCATTCCAACGATGGAAACGAGCATGGAATCTGAATTACAGTTGAGGAAAAGAGAATTTGAAATAGAAAGTGCATTAGACATCACACAGCATTAAAACTTTCCTGGTAACTATCTTACAAGACTACACGTTTAAATCAGATGGGGTCAACTGTATTTAGCAATTGAAGACTGGAAGAACCACCTGAACATGAAAAAAATAGAACACTGGTTTCAGCAATGAGCTGTATTACAGAATGATGCCTTGCAAGTTATCCACTGCCTTGTCAGGGACACAAGAGGACAGGCCAAAATACGGGAAGCGTGACGGAAGAAGAGAAAACGGGCACTGACAATACACAGCTTCTTACATGTATCTTCCTAGGTGCTAAGCAAGTCTTGCAAAAGACAGTGCCATGCAGCCAAGCAGAAAAAAAGTTAACCATTGCAAAAAAATAGCCCAACAAACCAAACAAAAAACACAATAATAGGAGTAGCTGTACTGAGTAAGAGGTTTTATTTGTGCATGTCCTACTCATTTTTAAGCACACAGCATTAGAGAACAACCTCAGCTTCTTGGAACAGAATGACCTAATAAATTTAATTCATGATGCACAGAGCACATCTGCTGTGAAAGTTGTACCGTTAGCACAATGAAGTCAGGAAACCTCACATCCACTCCTAGCTGCCAGTGTCCTCTAGGCTCTAAGTCACTACATTATTTGGTTCATTTCTCCACCTACATGTTGTACTCAGACCCTTTCTCGTGGGCAAGCACCTCAATTTATGTGCTGTTTGGAAGCATTTAGGAAAAAGAAACCCCAGGAGAAGTGAAAAGTATGAGTAACATTGTGACATGCACCTAACTATTTCACTCACAAAGCCTCAGCATCAGCATGGCTTCAAGTCATGTGCTTAAGTAAACAGACACTCATTAGAAGATCGCACTGCAAAACAAGCTTCACATGAAGCTAAACAATTTTAAGAGGACTACTTTATTAGTTGAACTCCTAACAGGGACCTCCTGTAAAACACACATAGAGAAGTCAGACGACAGCTTATGTGTATGTACAATTGGACCTTTGCCCAGCTTTAGTGTTCCTGCAGCTTTATCTACAGAAATTACGGCATCAGATTACTGAAAGATAATGCCATTCAAAGTTTAAGGCTACATAAATTCAAAGTACCCAAAATTAACAATAAACTGTTAGTTTCATCCAACTACGTGCATTCAGTAAACTTAAGACAGGAACACTATAAAAAGCACTAGAGATTAACAAGCATGATAACACTGGACAGCAGTACTCGATTTCCCTAGGTGAAACCAGAGGAGCTCCACATTTTCAAGAAATCAAGTCACCACAGCACACACGTAAAATGCTCTGTGACCAACTTCCCTGTGGCAGAGCAGAGGTATTAGTTGTGCTTATTAGAGCATACTAACTGCTTGGTGTGTTTTTACTCCCAGAAGATTATACAATAAGAGATGCCAAAATGAAGGTCAACTCATAAATCCTTGTTTCCGTATCAGCGCTCACTCCTGATTCTGGAGCATGAGCAGCAATGAGGCACACAGCAACAGAGCCACACACCATTAGTTCCCAAGGCCACTGTGTCCGTGCTGCACTCACATAGACCTGGCCCTCCAACAGCGAAAGCATCCAGTGTGAGGATGCAAAACTGCTTTGCTGACCCGGGATGGCAAGTGATACTTGTGCCACTCACATTTGTAAGCTAAGTGGCAATTACTTCACTGCAACACAAGCATTTTATAACAGTAAACATGCACACACACTTTAGTTTACCTAAATACTTTGCACAAATTAAAATGCTCCATGGCTAACACAAAGAGAAAACAACAAAAAAACCAAACTCATTACTAATGTAACTGCAGGGAAAGCAAAGATGAAGCTTCCTCGGTGACAGACACAGCATAAAGAGAGGAAGATAGTAAGGAACACTTGCCTGAAGGTAAGATCCCCCACCCAAACAACTATGCACAGGCTATAAATACCAGAAAAGAGAGGAAGTTATCTCCACTTCTACTGACTTTACACAGTAAAAGAAAAACCTAAATCACACAGCTATAACTTGAGCAACCACTTTTATATAATAAATGCAAGTTCCTTTACAAAATTGTCCAGTATCTCAGCAAAAACAGCTTCTCACTACTACTTATACCCTTATCTTCGTTGATGTTCTGGTTAATTACTCTCTTTGCCTTTCAACATTAATTGGAGATGGCTCGGGGTCATCCATATCAGACATCATTTTAAGTCAAGATCAAAACAACCACATTTAAGACAAAAAATACTTGTGAGGCCTTAACAACAGCTGGGAGAATATACTGCCTGTCTGAAAGGGGTGGGTAAAGAAGCCAACCTGTAAGCAGTCTTTAAACACATGCCTTCATGTAAGCATCTATCAAGTTCTTCCACTCCAAAAGAGCCAAGCAAACTTACCAGTTGGAGAATTAAACACACACCTAACACAAGCCATGTGACAAAGCGCCATAAGCTTAAACATTAGCTTACAAGGTTTTGCAGCGCGCATGTTTACCTTCCAATAAGCAAAAATACAAAAGAATTAATAAAAGACACCAGTGCTTAACGGAAAGCTTGAGATTTCAGTGCAAAAGACACGAGAAAGTGCTACTATAACCCCAGAGAAGGAAAATTCAAGAAGTAACTTCGAGATATAAACCTATGCTCGGCGACAGGATGAGGAACACCAGCATGATGGTTACTCCCCAACGTCAGCTTGTGACCGTGAGGAGCCCTGCCTGCCAGGAGGGAACAAGCGCCGGTGCCGGGCGGAGGCTGCCGCTCCCCTACTGGCGCCCCAGGCCAGCTGCCCCAGGCACGGCACGGCACGGCACGGCCCCGCTCCCCGGCCGGGCCCCGCTCCCCTCCCGCCGGCCCGCGGGCCCCAGCCCCGGAGAGCCCCGCCAGCGGCCAGCCGCCCTCAGCAGGGCCACGGCCCTGCCGCTTCCCCGGCACTGCAGCCGCCGGGGCCACCACACCAGCCGGTAGCCTCAAGGGAAGGGGACGGCATGCCGGCGAAAGGATACTGAAGACGGTGCGCTCCCAAGGCTCCAGCATGTACAGCGCGGTGATCAGCAGGTACTGGTAGTACAGCCACGACATCTGCTTCCACGCCGAGCCCAGCGCCATGGCGCGCCTCGCCCTCTCCCCGCCCGCCAGCGGCCGTGCGCCGGGCCCAGGCCGACCGGAGACGGGGCGGTGGCAGCCCGAGACCCGCCCTTTCGCCGCCACGCCACGCCCCGCGCCCGGGCAGCCCCCTGAAATGGAGGCGCGGAGGTTGTGGCAGCGGACTTGTCCGCCCTGCGGGGAGCCGTGAGACCCGGCCTCGTTAAATCACATGGCAGCCGTGAAGCCCGAGCGGTCCGCCTCTCTGAGTCAGGCCTAGGAGACGGTGCTGCAGCCGGTTGTCCTCATCCTGTGTAATCTAAACTGATGTTCTGGGAGTACCGAAAGCCCGGAGACTGTGCTCTGTGGGGCACAAGGAAAGCATGGTGAAACTGCTCAGCGGCAGTCTTCATTGTGCAAAACCCACCCAAAAACATGGCTGAGATAAATGAGACCTTAACATTCAGCCAACTCTGACCAGGTTAATCCCTTATGAGCAGGAAGAATAAGGATGCCATAGATCAACTGTTAAATGTAACTGTTGCTAACTTGGCTCTTCCCTAGGGCACCTGGGCCAGAAAGCAGAGGGTGTGGGATGCCCTGCCCTGGCTGTTGATCAGCCTCATATGGAGAAAGTCCCAGAGCCTGGCCTGGGACTGCATGATTAGAAAGCCTGTTGGCAGCATATTGTCACACTCTAGTTTGGAAGGCAGGAGATGGAAGCCTGCTGGAAAGCGGTGTACACAACCTTCAGGCTCCATGACTAAGAACAGCAGGAGGCAAGCAGGGCTGGCCCCCATGAAGGCCCTCATGTGCCAGGCGTGCACACCGCAGATTAGAAACTGGTATCGATACTCGCCCCAGATAGTAAATGTTTGTGATTACATCACTGTGCTGCATGATTATGTCACTGTGCTGCGTGATTCTGTTCTTGCAGCCCCCCCACCCCTATCTTCAGCTGTGCCATTAGTACAATGAGTAACAAGGAAATAAGAGTCACAGGAGGATGCACACAGATATTACTTACACAGCTGCAAAATACAACCACGGTACTAGCAGATAACTGAAAAAGTATTTTGTGTGGCAGAATCCGAAAAGAGATTTAATTCAACCAGAAGACGTTTAGACACACTTCACCTATTCAGACTTACTTCAGCAGAAGAAGAAAGGAGAGCATTCACACAGTTAATACCCTGCAGCAACTGGCTACAGGAGCCACAGTCCCTACCCAAGACTGCTAGCTGCTTGTTGCAAGTGCTGCTGGAGAAGTCTTGTATTACTGTTGCTGCTTGAAAATACAGTAATCATGAAAGCCTCCTTTCTATATAAACAAGTACAAAGTTCAAGGACAGGTGGGGTGTTCAGCACAACTAAAGCATTACTCCCATTCAAAGCTGCAAGAACATTATCCACACCGGTGGGGCAAATGGGTCCCAGTCCTGCCTCTCCTGGGCTTCCTAACTAGAAGCTCTGCAATTCAAATGAAAAGCAAGAAACAGCAAGAAAGGGATGAGAGGAAAGGCAGTATCTAGAACCATGCCAGCTTCAAAATCTCACCAGGCCCCTTATGCCTTTTCAGTATGGCACATACAAGACAAGTTTGCTAGTTAGCCCCTTGAGAAGACAGTATTCCTCTGTATAGTTTCCCCTCTGCCAGCTCCATTCTGCCCCTGCTTAGGGACTGCCATCACGTACAGTTCTTCCTGCTACCACCCACATCAACATTTGAGCCCTTGAACTACATACATTCCCACATGCTCCCGTTTCCAGTAGCTCAAGTGCGAAGACCCTTAACCTGGAGCTACAACAGAGCCTTCACACTTCACCTGGAATGGGAAGACAGCTACACAGAGGCCAGCATGCCCTGCAGCAGAAACTTAACCTACATTTGACGGAGAACTGTTGAGGCAGCTGCTGAACACTTGAGACAAAAGGTAACCAGAGTCACATGATTTCATCATCCCAGGCACAGAGGAAGTATGTTCTTCAGGCTACCTCCCAAGTTTAAATATTTCTGACTACTCCTCAAAGCACATGTAACAAATTCTTCCTAGTACTATTAAAAGCATAAAGATGAGATTGTTTTCAGACAGAGACCTGCTCAAAGTGTTAAAACAGTATCAGCCTATAAAGAGGAAACATTACTAATAAAAAACCCCAAGAGTTTACCTCTTGGGAGCATGCCCAGAGGAAAAGAGGGAAGGGTCCACTGTTAACATTGCACTGGCATCAAAGACTAAGCATGATACGTAAATATCAAGTAGCAAAAGCTCTTTATGCTTCCCTAAAGATGTAAATGTACTAAAGAAACAGAAAAAGCATATGAACTAGCTCTATGATCACAGATCTGACCATAAATTTCTTCTTAGAATGTGTCACTGTAAGGAAAAAGGACACAAGAAAGAAAGGTCAAGTATTCATATACATATATTCGTTTAACGCTCTTAACTGCATTACTAAGCATTAATACTTGATTTAAATTACCCATGCTAGCAAACTCAACATAAGCTATCTTCCACTCTGTATAAATGAAAGTTTCCATTTTTGAGATCTTAATAGGCCAAAAATCCAAATATGACAATTCCTTATCAAACCTACCTGTGCACAGATCTACCAGGAATACCAATGTAAAGAAGCCAAATCCCCTGAAAGTTGTTCTCCATGTACCACAGAAATGAATATAGAGAGAAAGTTACTTTACAGTATTTATTCTAAGCAGCAGTTATAACATATACCGAGTTAATGAACAGTGTATATATACAGGGAATGATCATAACATACAAAACTTACATTATATATTTACAAAATTTTAAATCCCCAATGATGCAACAGCCTGACAGAGTGGAAGAATACTGCCTTCAAATGCACGCTGTGAACTGTATTCCCTTCATTAACTCTGCACAAAGTTTAGAAGTTCTCCAATGAAAATGTACACTTAGAAGATCGTACTTAAAAAGGCTAACATGCCTGCATTTCTAACACAGTCTTACAGCAGTGCAGGGTTTTTTCCCCACTGCTTTTGCACATTAGCAGTGGCTGGCTAGAACATTGAAGAAGTGAAAAACTTCATCTTTATCCAGTACTGCCACTTCAGTTGAGCATTCAGTACACAGTACTGGATGATACACTTCCTCCTCTTCTTGATTTGACTGTAGAGAGGTAGTTTCTTTGCTGTGCTTCATTTTCTTATTTCTTTTCTTTGACTTCTTCCTGTATTTCAGAATTTCCTCTTTATTAACAACGCAGTTCATCACAAACATGGCTCTGTATTGTGTTTTGTAAGATTCATGTCTATGGAGAAGGGGAGAAAATACAAGTCATACCATTGGTAAAACTCTGCTTCCAAGAAATCTGTTATCATCACTGGAAATGGGATTAAATACAGCAACTACCACATCAAAGAGCTGAACACCAAATAAACATGAAGTTTTATAAACAAAAGTCACAACTACAAAAATCGTTAAAAAAATGGAATTGTAGCCATCTGTCCTGTTTTTAAAGCATTTAAAAAAACACAGTGGTTATTGCTGAAATAAACACCCCGGAGTACAATGGTTGATACAATTCAGAGTACCACAGAATTATGCATTGCTATGTGTAGCTGACAGTAGGCAAAAGATCTTGAAGGTGTGAGTGCAAATGACTCAACTACTGGCACCAATATCCTAAAATGTCTTGCAAGCCTGAGATTCCTTATTTATAAATACCAAGCACTGACACACCACACTTAAAATAGCATGCCTATAATGAAATATAAAATACAGTTTCAGCTGTCATCAGTGTAACAACTGTGGAGTATGTAGCAAAATTCAGGGCTGCAGTTCAATTCAATTCAACACCACATCCCTCATGCTGCAGTTTTACAGCAGCCTAAGCCCATGTAACAGGTGGCTGCAGAAATCCTGTCTCGACTTTGGCTGGCTTTACTGCTTGTATAAGGCCGGGTTATTTCAGTTTATTAAACCCACAAAAGGCCAGTCTGACACCAAAACCATATGGTTTGCTGCCAGCTTAGCAAACTGAAATACTTAACTGTAGAACAGGGTCAAGCAGTACCTAAAGCCAGCAAAGGGGAGAAAGGGGAGAGAGAGAAACAGCACCCAGTACTCTGATGATTTTAGGCTTCTGTGAATTTCATCCTCAATCACCAAAAATACTCAGTAAATGAGAGGCATTTACTCCTCATTGCACATTTGTTTCCCATTTTCTCCCAGTGCAGGAGTGCCCCCCTTAGCACAGGTTCACAGCACTAACTAGTTTTGCAGTGCAGCCAGATACTGGAGAGCTGCAAAACACAGAGGATCTCACCTAAATGCTTACCAAGCATTTTTAAATATAACTATACTCGAAACCACAACTGCTGAGACTCAAACCAGGCTAGAATACAATATCTTGATTTTGCTTAGTTCTCCCCTAAACAAGGCACTTTTACACAAAAATAACCTGGAATAATTTCACACATCCAAATAGCAAGGCAACATACTAAAAGTCATGATTCATCCTTACAAAACAGCATTCATCCCTAAATGTGATTCATGTGTATATGCCGTCTCTTTATTAGTGCCACCTTGCAATACGGAAATGCTAAAATCAACTTATCGAATTAAGTACCCTAAAAATACTACCCGCCAAAAAAAAAAAAGACATTACAAAAAGACCCTTTGTTATTAATTAATTACCTCTGGCAGTCCAGGCATAAGGTTGTCATGCAAGCAGGGCAATTCAAAACAGCATCACTATTTGGAACAGCTGCAGGTTTCTGCTGCTGCTGCGGCACCCTTCTTTGATTATGGTACCTAGCAATTCAGGCAAGGAGGAAGTAAAGACAACAAATGACACCCCATGCTCTTGCTGTCAGGCACATCAATTCAACTGTCAAGCCTTCTTTATGTTAGAATACGTCACTTAATACTTGTCTCCTTCTGGACACCTTTGTCAGTAACTCAAAGCACATGAATATATAAACCAGAGAAAAACTATACCAATACGTTTTCATTTACTTTGTAGGAAGGATTTCATTTGGTGAGACAAATATATCCAGCACAAGAATTTGTGTCTAATGACCCTTTCCTCTGACAAGGTGGGTATCTCAAGTGCAGGGAAC